TGACGATGTTTGGGTGGTTCAAGGATTGTAGCAATTTTATTTCTCGAACAGCAGTCACAGGAAATCCGTCGCGTTCTCCTTCCATGCGTATCTTCTTCAGAGCGACCAACTTCTTGGTGTAGACGTGGATAGCTTTGAACACTTTACCATAAGTTCCAGATCCTACCACAGATTCATTACCAGGTTTTCGATAGTACACGGAATCCGATGCCTTATATTCGGGTAATAACTGTGGCTTTGGCTTCAAACGTTGCATAATCTTTTTGACCTTACGCGTAACAGGAGGCGGTGGTTCGCGGAATGCGTGTTGTGCTCTTGCAGATGCTGGCTCTGTAGGAATGTTCCGTGTCGCTGCAGGGCCACGAGGGCTATTTTGCATCTCTCGCTTGGTTGGTACAGCGTTTAGCTTTTGAGAGATTTCTGGCTTCGGAGTAGTTGCCGCTTTAGCTGGACCTTTGAAAGCAAAACTAAACTTTGAGGAGTTCTGTTGACTTTGAGGCCCTGTTGGTGGTGGTCGACTAGGAGGGGGCATTTGTTCATCATTCTTTTTGCTAGTATCCTCAGCCTGAAGGTCTTTTGAGGGTCTAAATAAGTCTTCACTTTCGTCCACCTGATTCTGCATAGGTATTGCACCCGAATCAAACGAATTCTGCTGTGGGAACTGTTGTTGCGGTGACATTTGCTGAGGTGTAACATTACCAGAATTGGTGAACTGGGCGCGATTGGCGCCGGAGGGACCAGAAGGAGGATTCCATTGAGAATTGAACTGGTTTCCACGACTACCTCGGGGGTTGAAATTGTTCGCTCTAAAATTCCGTTGGTTGCCTCTGAAGTTATTGTTGTTCATTGGCCCCGTAGGAGGGCCTTGATGAGAAGGAGATTGGGCTTGGTTGCCATACATTTGGTTTTGTGGGCCAGTAGGAGTAGCATATCCCGGTTGTTGCTGGTAATTCTGTTGAAATTGCCTGCAAGTCTCGTCAGATTTGAAAAATTATTAGTCCTAGCATAATGAAACTTACGAAGAGGGCGAAAACTGTTGTTGCTGTGAGCCATTCCAGTTTCCCCGCCCAGAAGAATAAGGTGATTGTGCCTGAGGTGAACCATGATATGAATTTGGGGTCATTTGATGTTGTGGAGATTGTGAAAATTGTCGTGGGTCTGCTTGAGGCCCTTGAGGAACTTGGTTGAATTGTGGTTTCAAAGGAAATGCAGCCTGCATTTGTTGGTTTGGATTGTACCCTTGCTGATTACCATAGAATCCTCTATTAGCCATCTTATCCGATTTGACCTCAATGCTATTCGCTCCTGAAGCTGCCGATGTAGGTCGACCTCGAGATTTATTATTAGGGCGATATTCGTCTCGTGAGGGCCGGCCCTTTTCTCGCTTTGGGGACCGTCTCCGATTTCCCTTTGGCCCTTTCGGTGCACGAGGAGATTGTCGACGACCGCGATTTTTATGTTCGTATGTATCTGCCTCTGGCGATCGACGGCTCGAGTATGGGGAAGGGTCTCGCTTCCTTTCCTTATTTTCAGATATATTTGGTGCTGGATTTCCTCCGTCCTTTTGTTCTTGCTCGAAAATTTTGTTGGGAGATGGATTACGGTTCGTTGGTGGATCGTCGTAGTCCAAGGCTGATGAAGGACGAGACTTTTCAAATTTATCACGGTTTTGGCCAGGAGATCGCCCACGCTTATCGTTTTTTCCAAAATCTCTACGATTTCTTGAATTTCCTTCCTCGCGTTGATTATTCCTGTTTGGTTCTGATTGCCGATGTCGATGTTGTGATGTAGACCGGTTTCGTCGCTTCCTATCTCGCCGGGACCCTTTCGTAGCTCCGTTGTGCCGTACTGGACTGCGAGAATTCCTTCGAATTTTCTTTTGTTGGTTGCGACTCGGCGATGGGCTGCGACTCTTTCTTCGTTTTAATTGTTGAGGGGAATGGGCTGTATTTCCTTTTACTATTTCTGTGCCTCGCGATTCCAATAGTAGTTCCCTGCCTTGATTGCGCTTCACTACGTCTTCTTGTGTATCTTTTGATGGCCGGGGAGACGATGGCCTTCTGCGGTCTGGACTACGATCTGGCTTTTCAGTTTCTTGTGTTGGCCTGGATCTATCAGTACTGCGATCTCTGGTATTGGGTGTCCTGTCGGCGTCCAGTCGACGTGACGTGGGAGACCTTGATCTTCTCGACCGTCTTTCAATAACTCTCCGGTCGACTCTACCTCTATCTCTGCGATCGTCACCGGGGCTCCAGCTGTCTTTCATCTCGAGCGCGATCGCATCTCGAGCAGGCGGGTGTTCTTTTGGTTGTGGAGTTGAAGGCATAATTGAGGGAATGTCGATGATTTTGCTAAAGTGGCGCGCTTCTTTAGGCTTAGCGAGAATTGAGTCGATGGATTGGCATTAAACCATACAATGCGACACAAAAAGACTTTCAGAGAGAAAAGTTGAGTTGAATTGAATAATGAGATGATTTTAAATGAAAATAATGATGAGAATCTTGAGACAATTGAAAAGTATAAGACGACGAGAAAATAAAAAATTGGGAGGGATTTTGGTGTTACATTACCTAGGTATCTGATTGTATGACATGCCTATTTGTTGTGGTGGTGGTGGTTGTGGTGGTAGTGGTGGTGGTGGATTGCTAAGTGCAGAATTGAGTCGAGTCTGGTAATGGTGTTCCTAACCCACACCGTATCAACGGAACTCCATAATCCGTAGAGGTGCAGAATAACAACTGTCGTAGCAAGAACACTGCACACTCGTTGTTCTGTAGAGTTGAAAGATTTGAAAGAATCGTCCGATTCCGACACCGAGTGAGCAGAGCAGATTACCGAGCCTTGTGTCCTTCCTTCCGAGTTCCATGCATCGGTATCCAAACCGCGTTTACAATTTCGAAGTCACGTAATGTATGCAAAGTTCTATCTACAATGCGTGTGATACGCAAATATAACAAGGGAAAGTAAAGGAAATTATCGTCAATATGGCTTTGCCAATATAGAGTCTGCCTCTGCAAGAGCTGCACAAGGCGGCTCAAGGGAGCCTAACCCTCGAATATTCCCAGCAATGTGTGCAGACCACGTCCTCAGTGGAATTAGGAGCTAACTCCCTCGAAACCTTCTGCGAAGATCGACAGCCCAGTAGTCGAATGGTAGACGGTAATCTGGGAGCGCTTCGCTGTTGTTTGGTTGTGGAGTTGTTGGATTCTGGTATTATTCTGCAGGATCGTTCTAGTATTGATTGTGAATGATGATAACATCTATCAGAAGTGACTGGGACCCCAAGCATCTTCATAGAATCATGGATTGAGGTCGCTGTTGGGGCAGCAGTCAAAGGTTAGAGCTTTGTGAGGAGACTCAGTTTTTGGGCAAGAATAACGAGTGCTTCAATTCATCCAGAACAACCGCCATGTCAAATGTCCAATATGTGTAGACCAGTTCTTGTTTTGAATCAAAAGATCCAACCGGCATAGGACCATAAGAAGACCTAATCATAAGCCAGGGAGGCATTTAACGTACGACATGTGCCAACTTCAGCCTTGTTAAAATAACAACCACTATTTGACATCTTGCAGATGTCAATAGTGCTGGTATCGGGATCTGCGTGTAGAGAATTCGTTCAAGTATATCAAGGACTCATTAGGTATGGCATATTCACAAATAATCCTGTGGTCTGCCCATGCCGACAAATATCAGCCACTTCCATCAATCCGCAGGTTCAACTATTAGTGAGGGGTGAAAGCAACCTTCAGCCTTCCAAGCTAACCGCATGAACAATAACTGAAGCCGTCGCATAGAAAACTATCGTCGCAATTTTGAAAGAAGTATCGGCATACGCAGGGGCATGTAGGTAGATGATAGATACTGGATGCCGCGGTATACAAAATCACATACCACCATCATACCACCATAGATGTTGCTTATTGTCGATTCCAAGATAGTGTGTGTGCTGTGACTACCTAGTAATATTGTCAATGGCATAAGTTGCATTTGAAGTTCAGTCGGTTGAGGTGAACAGAAATATATCGAAGGATCTAGGGGGACAGTCGTCTCGAAATATGCCTATTGCGATGTCGATACGGTGGCATGTGCGATTGTTGAGAAGCGGCGAAATCTTGAAGAAAGACTGTACCGTTACCTTGCATAACCTTGATTATTTTCTCATTTCTCCTGAAACCCGTCGTCTTGCGGCATGTTATCGCGAATAATCATATTTGTATGGAGCTTGTAGACTTTTTTGTAAAATGGTAACGATAGGTAGTATGTTGATTGTTCAAAGTTCACTCGTTTGAGAGCAAGGCTTCTACTCGTTTGGCTCTTGATTACATAATCTGATTGATGCTCAAATATTCGCTGTCGTGCTAACGTATTCGACAGAAATGCAATGCCTATGTTCCAGCAACTCCATCTGCAACTTCTGGCCGCAACTTCTGATCTTCTATTGTTGAACAATCAAGGCTGATTGTATTAATTGATGAAGTTGGTTTGTAAATATGTAACGAAAAGTTCTAGTCTTACTCTGGCAAGGACGGAAGCAGACCATATGTGAATGCGAGTGTGAGATGCCATCTACATACCTAGATCAGAATTTCAATCTCTGTCTTGTTTTCAAGCATTAAACTGCTGAAAATGAACGGAATCAGTAAGATAGACAAAGTCGATTCAACCTTGCTATCTGCAACAGAAACCTGACTGCTTTCAAAGTAGGCTCGAGTGAGCTGCAACAACCTAGAAGTAGGCTTTACCTGCTTGAGCCTTCTCCTGTACAACTTTCACCGGTAAATGAGTGGCTAGTCACATATCGGAGGCGGCTATGCAGAAACTGCACTGTTTGTTAGATCGTTACACCAAGGTCTATCTCCCCATTTTCTATTACTATCCACGGTCGCAGTTTCAGCTCACTTGATTTACTATGAAATTTGACACGGATTCCTTCGGTTCTCAGAGCGGGTACAATTTTTCTATCTATATTTGCATCACCCCGAGACTCACTATACATTATGGAGGTACTTGCTGGAGTATCGAGCGTGCTCTCGGTTCTTGGTTTTGCCATCCAGCTTGCAGATGGTATCAAGAAAGCTTGTGCACTCTGGGAATCTCTCCAAGAAGCCCCTCATGAGGTTCAAATGATATGCAAAGATTTACGCGCTATATCAAACATTCTTGACGATATAAAGATAGAGGAGAACCAGTTCGTGCATCACTCTAACTCGATAACTGAGGCTCTAGGGCTTTGCTCTGAAGTTCTCGAATCTCTCAATCACTTAAGTCAAAAGATCGTATTCCCAAAAACCGATACTACCTTGTTGATCAAGAGATGGCGCGCTATGAAGGGAGTCATAAAGATGAGAAGCTACAAGGGTTACAGTCGAGATTGAACAGCGCGAAACCGACCTTGGTCCTGGCTCGTCAGAACTCTTCTCAGTCAGTACTCCTCGATTGCGTGTTTGGACGCTCCTGACATATCTAGACTTCTGTCCATGCAAACTCATAAATCTCAACAGCAGCTCGTGAATATGGTGGATGGAATTAAGCTCGATCTACAGGAACTGGCGTCGAAACCCGTTGTAATCACATCGAGAGATCTACCAGACAGTAACGCACACTTCGATGCACTAAAAGTGGAAGCTCGAGCTCTTGCATGCAATATCAAAAATCCTGCCATGAGACTTGGCTTTGACAGAGCTATGGATTTAGCTTTTTCTACATTGTCAAACCCCGCTGAGAGAAGCCTACGGAGAAAGTCTGTTTCTCTGCACAGTGGAAAGCACAGCATCTCTATCACTAACACGCCTTTTGGAACAATTAATATCTACATCACCACTTTATCGTTTGCAGACGGCACTTATAAGTCGCGCACCAATTTGATCATGCACCCCTCTCGTTTGCTACAACTATGCGGTGTCAGCCTCGGGGTCAGAATTGCTCTTTCGAAGTCGTGTGGGACCTTCAAACCCGAATTAAAAGCATACAGAGCTGTTCCGGACGATTCGACAATCTTCAGACTCTGTAGAGATGGACGCATAGATGCCATTCGATGTCTCTTCGATGAAGGTCTTGCTTCTCCGCGTGATACTGATTCATATGGTAGAACACCTTTAATGGTACGTCTTTCTTACCTCCATGCTTGAACAAATTTTTTCCATGGACGATTAGAGCTGGTCGACCATCTACATAGACTTAATTAACGGCGCCACTCCCTCCTGGATCATCTATGAAACAGCTTCGGGCGGCTTATCGTATCTCATGCTAATGCAATCTCTAGATAGCAGCATCTACTGGGCAATTATCAACATGTAAATTTCTCGTCAATGAGGGAGCTGATTTGGAAGTTCGGGATATACAAAACAAGTAAATTGAATATCTCTCCTGGTGTTGGCATTGAAAGTTTGGGTCGATCGTACTTCTGACGTGTATTGATAGTGATCTCGGGTCATATGCATGTGGAACGTGGTCTTACGATCTTGGAAAGGGAGGTGTTCCATTCGGCCTTTCACACAATGAAAACCAGGTCCGGGTGCCTTGCGATATTCGTATCGAAGTACTCAGAATGTTTCTCGAACAGTTCGAAGTCAGCGAGGACCCGAATTCTTCTGGAGTAGTCGGATTGTATCGGCTCGCACACACCCCTCGATTGGTAGCCGACCGAAAACTTCTCTTTTGGGCTGCTTCAATGCTTCAAGATCAGTTGATTCTCACTTCCAATTTAAGGGACTATTTTCTATCTACCTTGATTTCTGCAATGAAGCTCGAAGATACAAATATGATTCATCATCTCTTCCGTTCTCATCCTCATGATATAACGGAAGCTTGGAACGCGCCATCTATATGGCGTTGTCTCGCGAAGAAACTCAGATCATCTGATCAAACACATCTTATTCGTTGCATGATAAGTTACGGCATGGATCTTCATAACTCATCAGCAATGCTATCTTTTACCTCACTGAAGTTCCCTGAAGTAGAGTACCAGGGCACGATAACGGGATGTCTCTTACAGTCATCAGCAGCATTCTTCCGGTTCAAGACCACCTTGCAAAATTTGGGCATAGACATAGCTAAATTTGTATGCGATGAGATACAGCAGGGTCCCGCCGCCGCCGCCGGCTGGACCACCCAGAACCTTCTCGCTGCCTTCAATTTGGATTATATACCTGGGGACGCCTTGCCGTATTTCACGTGTCTGCCCGATTGTCAACTCTTTTGTTACAACTACGGCAGAGAATTTTCTTGGGAGATTCTATTGGAAAAACTGAAACCTAGAAGCGACTTATCCAGCGGCCTCGAAGACATACTGCGGGAACGAGAGGAAGATCTTGTTAAGTTCCAGAGTATTGACGGGCGCATTTGTTCAGGGTGTGGTGAGCTTGGAATGTCTCATGCTACTGAGAATGAGCAGCTTGACGCTCGCTATAACTTATACTACGGTCCACTCCGCCAAGCGGCAAAAGAACGCGAAACAGAGGTGGAGGATTCAATGTTTCTCTGATCTATTTAATGGTTTCATCTTGCTGAATGAAGAGCTGTTTAGCTTGGATACTGTGTCGGTTTTCATCAAACACTGAGATGTACAAGATTGAGTGTGGAGTTTGGGCAGATTGAGTTCTTGAAATGTGCAAATGGGGTCTATCCTCTATGAAACACCTCTCGACCGTTTTGCTATCCGTCGACCTGTATAGTGAAATTTCACTTAATTCATCTTTTTCTGTTCGTTCTCCTTCCTCCTTTCTCCCTCTCCTCGTATTTCCTCTACTACATCCACTATATCAACATAATCCTCGCTTTTCTATAAGCACACAAAATTCCTTTTCACAGTTATCACATCCAAATAACAGTAACCAGAAAGCAAAGTGATTTGATAAATAAGAGGTCCATCTTCCTTCAGACATTCTAACAATCATCATCTAACATGCCCAGATGTGACTCCAAGTCGAGACTTTATCAAAACTGTGTGAGTTTTTTTTTCATTTTTACCAACCTCTCACTCCCATGCAATTCCCCTCAGTCGATGACTTTACAGAAAAATCACAAGACCAAAAGGAAGTTCAATAGCACAATGACAAGTAAGTGCTTCGAAGCTACTACATTCCTTTACATGTCCCATCATGAAGAACCTCAATGACACAACCACCAGTGAGTAGGCACATGAACTGACAGAACACCGCTCACCCAGTTTCCAAAATTTATAACAACTTCATCCTTCAATTTTTCAACATCAAAATATACCATTCATTACCCCATTTAGAACAAACCACACCCACAATCCTACCGCTAAACCATCATTTCTGGAGATATTGCAATTTGCTAATTATAAATCCATTTTTGCCATATCCCATCAGTCCATCCGTACGTACTAGGGATGGACAAATTACATATTCTTAGGGTTGATTATATAATTTCATATTATCACACTTTTTGAGGCATATAAAATATCATGCCAAGCTTATACACGTGTTTTTTGGACTAATAAAATCATCAGGATGAATGAAAGTGGGTCGTTTTTAGAAAAAGTTTTTAGTAGGTTGTAATTTTTAATTTAGTGTATAATTAGACCCAAAAGTCAGGTGCTAATTATGCACTAATCATGTAATTTATATACTAATTATTTTCTTTTCAAACTAGCTCTAAAATAGCTTTAAAATAGCTTTAAAATAGCCTTTTATAGGATTTTATAGGATTTTATAGGATTTTATGATTAGTCATACATATAATGCGATTTGACTAATATTACGTATTATATTCAACTGACGAATATGCGATATTATATATCATCAAAAATCTCAACCCTAGTACGTACTACGTACACTCACTGACATCTCACTGACATACATGCCATACCAAAGAGAATCAGAGATCAGATATAAAATACCAAACCAAATATCATATCCAAAACCCCGATACTCATACTCATCCAAATCCAAATCCAATCAAGCCCATTCTACCATTCCATTGTTTTTATCTCTTTAAAAACATTCATTCATTCATTCATTCATTCATCCATCCAAAACCCAAGCAAAGGCCCAAGCAAAACTAACCCACAACCATCCCCCTCCCCTTTAGACTCCCACAATTCCCTCCCGCATTTCCCTCCCGCACCCTCGGACACCCCTCGGTACAAAATTCCACTCCCCCATCAAACATCCATCTACCTACTAGGTAGATCTAGACCCTAAATCATTTCTATCTCTACGATATTCCTTATCCAGCAATAACATCTCTCAATTCCCGTCTCTCATCCCATCTCCCTTCACCAAATCGACCTACCATACTCACATCGTACCACCTACCATTTACCTACCATTTACCTACCATTTATTATCTACCTACCATCTACCTAATACCTAATGCCCTCTTATCATATATTAATATCTCAAGTTCTCAACCAAATGAATACCTACACAACAAGTGAATAAACATCAATACATAGATCAATCACCCAATAAAATCATACCTATCCTCTATCCTCTATCCTCTATCCTCTCCCTCTATCCTCTCCCTCTAGCCTCCCCCTCTAGCCTTCCCCTCTAGCCTCTCCCTCGTACCTATCTCGTATCTCTCGTACTAACTAACTAACCCAGTTCCCTAGACAATCCATCACCTACTAGGTACTGGCGTACGTACGTACCTACGAGTGTAATTACCTACCCTACCTCTCGTAGACGATTGATTACCTAACACCCCCCCTCCCCTCCCCCCCCCCCCCCAAAAAAAATCGTCATTACCTAACACCCCCCCTCCCCTTTCCCCCCCCCCCAAAAAAAACAACCATAGAAAACAATAAAATATGGGAATCCTCCAAACATCCCAATTCCAACATCCCAATTCCAACATCCAAACCAAGAACCAAGAACCAAGAACCAACACCCAAGAACAATTCATCATCAAAACATCAAAGCATCAAAGCATCTTCCCTGCACAATTTTTCATCTCATTCCTCACTCATCCCACTTTTCTGCTTAAAAATTCAGAACTGGTGGGGTAATTACGAACTGCAGGTTAATTTGGTCGAGTTTCAAGTTTCAACTTTCTGCGCATTGTTGTTTTATCTTATTTTATTTTGTTTTGTTTTCATTTTTTTCAAATTTTTATTGATTTATTTATTTTGATTTATCTTGATTTGAATTTCACATTATACAGACACAGAGAGCACATACACATACACAGAAAAATCATGTGATCAAAAGAATGAATGAATGAATATTTAATTGTATCCAGATGCAAGAAGTGGATGGAGAGAAAGAAAGAAAGAAAGAAGTGAGAAGTAAAAAACATCCCCTCATCCCCTCATCCACCATCTGAAAAAAACATAACTTTTGAAGTCGTGAGTGATTTTTATTTAAAGAAAAAGTCTATATAAAAAAGCGAGTGAATCGAATCGAATCGAAACACGAGCTGCTTCCCAAAAAGGAGAAGGAAAAAAAAAAGGGTTCCCAAAATGTTAAAAAAAAGGGTAATCCCACGCCAATACACCACAACCCAATTCCGAAAGCCGTCCGTCCCACCGATCCAATCAGGAGGTCCGTTCCGTCCTGTCCATCCGTCCGTCCGTGTATCCTTTTATATATCCGCGTGATAGAACCATCATAAATTTCGTATGCCACATCGCAGCACGCTTTGCGGCGCTGACGTACATTGTTTCTTTTCTTTTCGTATGTATCTATGTAATGTATGTGTTGGTGTGTGAGACCGGTCGGTATGTACATCTTCTTGCACCTTCTCGACTACCAAGACAACGAATGAAACTTCAGAGAGTGAGGAATCTAAGCAGATCCTCCACCGGTGACGAACTCTTTGCCGACCTTGGCTCTGGTCTCACGCTTGGAGGTGGCGAGGTTACCGAGGAGGCAGACGAGTTCGTCGGAATCGGTGGCTTGGGTTTGGACGTCGTCGGGAAGGTTGTAGGCGTTGTCGCAAGGGAAGGATTGGCAGCCAGAGAGAGGAGTACCGGTGTTCAATGGGAACATCTCCTTAACACCATTGACATCATCTGGGTTGACGATAGCGGAAACATCAAAGTAGGTCATGCCTCCCCAGGAATCGAAGCAGACTTCACCAAGCATACCGGAAGTGTTGTCGGCGCCATCAGAGACAGAGTACCAGTTGCCAATCCAGCCGGTAGGGAAGGTTTGGTTGGCGGTAGAATCGCCTGAGACGGTAAGGGAAGCGATTTCAGCACAGCCAGAGGTAGGAGTGAAGACCAAGGTACGGGTGGTGCTGTCTTGGTTGACAAAGTGCACGCTACCGGCGGAAACGATGGTAGCGAGAGCTGCGGAAACAGCAAGGATGGAAGTAGCGAATTGCATTTTGAGTGATGTGTTTGTGTAAACTTTTAACTTGGTAAGGATTGGTTGGGGTAAAGTAAGACTGGGCTTTACTTTAAGTTGGTCAATTTAAACTGGTTGCTTCTTTTGGCAATGAGCGTTTTGGATCGAATATGTGGTCTGATGTTGTCAAAGTCGTCAAGACTGAAAAGTTCTGGTGTCGTAGAGACAAGTTTTGCTGTTGAGCTGACTGTAGAAGCTGTGAAGTGACTGGAAATGTCAAGTGCGATCTCAGATCGAAATGTTTGAGTAACTTAAAGGAATGAGTGAACTCTTGTTGACAACGTCGTGGATGAGGAAAAGAAAGAAACACAAATGGAGGCACAGCGGATTATATAGACAGACGACCGAGTGTGAATTCAGGGGACACGACTAGAGTACCATGATTCAATCAGGAAAAACGCCAGCGCGGACATTTACGCTTTAGCTCAGGCTTGCTCAGCCCAAGCTACGGCAATTGTGGAGTCATGTCAGCCAGAAGTAGTTCAATCGGAACCGAATAAACAAAATGCATCCAGAACGTTTGCTTCTGCTCAGGGTGCATACTCCGTACACTTTCCACGTTCCGCTATTGGAGGCGGCCACGCCAGACAAAATTCGAAAACACGCCACCAAACCGCATGAGGAAGCTACTGGCATCTGAGACTCGGGAGAACTAGCCTTGGCGAGATTGAGAATTTTCCTTTGGTGGGAAGAATGGAGTCAATGGATTGATGCGACTACGCTTTGATTGGATCATTGGTGATTTGTTCCTGAATCTTAACGGCAGCCGATGCGTAGGGCATGCGTAGCGGAAACTCGAAAGTTTATTTGGTAGTCGTCTCTGTGTGGAGAATGTCTTTGTAATCCAAGTAGCCAATGAACTTTACGATATCTGTTTCCATGATTCATATCTGTAATAGCAACTCTTGATGCCAGTGATAGGATAAGTAAGGTATTCTAGACCCCAATTGCTTGGAACTTGAGTCATTTGTCAAATTATCCGTGTTTGTGCTTGGAAAATTGATTTTGTGAGAGTGTTTTCCTGCAGTGACCGGTCATGATATGAACGGCTGATTGATGTAAGTATCGATATATTACTTCTTGGAGTCGTTACCTCGCAATCAGAAAACCCAGCATATCGACGCATTTGACCAAGGAGATGTCGTAACACAATGGCAATGGCAATGGCACTGGGTAAATCACGGAATCGATATTGTCCCAACACCTCGGAGTCGTTGGAGATTTGGAGTGGGTAAACACTGTCACACGAAGAATAAACTATTGTCCCAATTGTTCTCGACCTTTGCAACCTGGTCACTTTGGAACTTTGGAAGTCTTTCTGGACAACATCATTACAAGGTCTACCTATATCTTGCAAAAGGGGGGGCCATTCGATAGCGGGG